CCGACGTTGTTGGCAATGGTGTCGGGCCATTCTCTCTCCCATTCATATTGCTTCTGTCTTACGTCGTTGTGTCAGAGTTTGGAGCTGCTTTAGTTCCAAAACTTTTATCTTCCAAATTGCTCCTAATTTGGTAGTCCTGAGTCTTGATATGCCTTGTCGTCCTTTCCAAGGGACTTTTTCAATGTTTCGAGTTCTTCCAAGCGATTTGGGCCTCATGGGGCCAGTTTACGGATGGGCCAAGACGATGTGGGTGGTTCAAATGCCAGGGTGGTTTGCCCGGGGTATTTCGATCTTTCATAGTTTCATCGACTGGGATCTGGGTGTTTACATTGACCTTTTAAATATGTCCATTCCCAATCTATTTCTGCAGCCAAAATTTAACATTCGTCTCCTTTACCCACCACATAACTCGTATATCTTAGAAAAAATTTCTATAGGCCACAATCCCCTTCCACTTCAACGAAATACCTTTTTTGTTAATACCCATCGTAACAATACCATCCTCCTTATCTTTTCCATATTTTCCCCCAAGAATACATCTCTATAATTGGTCCTTCTCCTTAGCACATCTCCACCAATATTTTGTCAATAACGCACTATTCATAGTTTTCATTTTTTTAATCCTCATACCTCCATCACAAATAGGAGTGCAAACTTTGACTCATTTAGCAAGACTGAATATCTTCTTATCGTCAGATTTCCCCCATAAGAATTTCCTCATAAGACTCTCACGTCTCTTAGCAACATTGTTGGGCATTTAAAAGAGAGTCATATAATAATGGGAAGGTTTACCAAAGCAGCCTTTATCAACGTCAAACGACCCCCCCCCCCCCCCAAGGATAGTGATTTATATTTCCATGTATCAAGCTTGCATTGCATACGCTGAATCAAGGGCTCCCATAGAGTAGTAGTACGATTATTATTAAATAACGGTAATCCAATGTATTTTGCAGGAATGCTCCCAGTCCCACAATTAATCATTTATGCGTAATCTGTAACTATACGCTCCGCACATACCACCCCTATTAATTGTGTTTTTTGCAGATTAACTTTCTGCCCAGTCACCTCAAAACATCTCATAAACATTTTCAATGTTTTAACTTCAACTTCATTTACCCCACAGAAAATCAGAGTGTCACCTGCATATTGCAGATGAAACACAGTTATTCATTTATTTTTAACTTGAAAGCCACTCAAAAGATCCATATAAAGAAAATTGGGTAGCTTTCAGATATCTTTTTTTCTACATTAAACACATTAAACATCTATCACTGAAACCCATAGTCTGCATTGTTTTCAAGAGAATCTTTTATTCAACCTTATCATAGGCCTTTTCAATATCAATCTTACATGAAATACTAACATTCTTTTCAGTAATCTTGGAGCTAATTACTTACTGAGCACAAAGTATACTATCCGTAATTTGCCTACCTTGAATAAAGGCGGATAGAGGAGGTTTAATGATGGTAGGTTAGATTGTCTTTAGTCTCTTGGCAAGGCATTTAATCAATATTTTATACAAACTGGATAGTAGGTTGATGGGCTTAATATCACTCAAGCTTTCAATTGCCACTTTTTTTTTGGAACAAGGGCATTGAAAGTTGAATGAAGGCTAACATTCACCACACCCCTATTAAAAAATTTATATACCATATTCACAACATTGCACTTGACAGAATCTCAAGAGTGTTGAAAGAAACCCAAAGGAAACCCATTAGGTCTTGGAGCATAATCCCCAGCTAGGCTAAAAACAACCTATTTAATTTCAACTTCAGTACAGGTTCTCTCAATCCACTCTCTCCACTCGGGTAGAAGCTTTTAGAAGGAACCTCACTAAAATCAGTATTAGGAACATTGCCAACAGAGAATGCATCATGAAAATGTTTAACAATAGCATTTTCCAACGCTACCTCATCCCCGTCCACCACCCCATCAATTTTAAATACTTGGATGCTATTTGTTCGTTTTCTAACATTTACAGTTGCATGAATCTTGTTTAAGTCCCCCTCTTTAAGCCATATGATACGAGATCTCTGCTGCCAATGTAGGTCACCAGTCCTAAAACATTCATGGAGTTCATTGTTTAACTTATTATGTAGGTTCATATCCTCCAGTCCTATAACACCAGACTCCCATTCTTTCATATCTAAGGCTAATAGACTAGACATAGACTCCTCAATCTTCTTTTTATAGTTCACATAGTTTGTCTTTTTCCACTTTACCAGCTCTGTTTTCACACTTGGAGCCACATAACCATACCACCTTTGTATATCATTCATATTTTAGGCTTATTTAATCATAGCGTTCACCGCAATGCCATTAGTCAACACTATCTTAAACTTAAAGTAACATTTCCCCTACTAAAGTTTCACCTTTCCATATCATTGGGATATGTTTCGATGACAGTTTTGGCAGAACCCGGGCTGGATCCAAAGGATAAAGCTCAGCCCAGCCAAGATTGACTAGTAATCAATCCAAGCATGTCATAATATGGTAAAAGGGACACTTGTTAAACTAGGTAAACCTAGCTCTCATAGATGGAATATTCAACAATTCAAAACTATATATAAAGCTAGAAATCTCTCATACAGTAGTTAATCCTATGATCCACACTAAACTCATTCGGCCATCTGATAATATTAAAGTCACCCCTATAAACCAATGTATGATGCATCAAATTAGAAAGATTAGCTGCAACATCAACTTCTGATATCCCAAAACCCTCTTTTGTAACCGATAACCACATCCATCCAAATATTGTGTAGGATTCTCCTCTTCATTACACTTAACTCCACACGTTTACCTTCAAAGACTATTATTTATTTCCTTCCAAGTTTTCTATAATACCATCGCCTTGACAATTTGCCGAATCTTTTCACCAACTTTTGAAAGACCCCCCATCCCAATGTTCCAAAATGTCAACATGTGAACCGGGAAACACTATTGACATTCCCATTAATTGAAAAATCCAGCACCACAATCCATATGTAACAGGACAATGTAAAAAAAGGTGATCCCCACACTCTGCATCCTCTTTACATAGGTCACACACATTGATTATTATTTTTACCGTTAAGGTTTTTCTTTGAAATAATATCCATAAAAAAACACGAATCTTCAAGGGTACCGGCCAACTCCTGATTTGGTGTAAAGAGAACCATCTCTATCTCAACCTATCCTGAAACAAAAGAGCATATACAGACCGAACACTAAAATTCCCATCATTCTCTGTATCCCAAACCACTTCATCTTCCATTGTATGCAAGATACAGCTTGTCTTGAGAGAATTCAACAACTTTGTATATTGCACGAAGACAATATCAGGCAATCTAATTCAGTTTGAATTAATTTTCCATTTTATGTTCTCCCCACGAATTTAAACCATCTCCATCAATTTAGCATTCTGACGTATAGATAACTCAAATAATTGTAGAAACAGATATTTCAAAGCCTCTGCCCCTAACCATCTGTTATGCCAAAAATAAACCGATCTTCCATGACCCAATATCCACCTCAAACTACCCAAAACCAATCTTCTATTGCTCACAATACCTTTCCACACATAAATCATTTTCTCTTCTTCTCCTCGAAATCAGCTGAGATATAGAATCAAAACCATACTTAGTAACGTAAACCTTGTGCCATAGTTGATCACCACATATGCAAGACCTCCACCACTATTGTGCAAGCAATGTGTGATTAACCGGCTTAATCATTCTTATCCCCATCCCGCCTTCTTTTTTTGGAGTGTAAAAAAAGACAAACTTATAAACTTAGAATTTCTTGATAAGAACAAAGTTAATAAACTTAAAAAGGAAAAAGTAACAATTTCTTGATAAGAACTGAGGTCGAAATTCCTTTGCGTTTCCAATTAGAAACACGTTTGAGAGACGATAAGCAAGATCAATCCTCAATATGCCACGTGTCTAATGCTTCGAAAAAATCACTAGAATGCCATTGATAAGAGAGAGAGAGAAGAGAGAGAGAGAGAGAGGAACTCTTAAGTACCTTGAAAATATATCATGGACTGAGGATTTAAAGAGTAAAAAATCATTCTAGAACCTTGAAAATCTATTGTATATTTGAAAAAAAAAAGGGAATTTCTATCTAAAGGAAAAATTTAAAAATATTAAAAAAAATTCACAAAAAATAAAATAACCAAAATCACTAAGAAAATATCCAATAAAAAAAAAAACAAGTTTTGGGTTCTCATGCCTATTCCTTCTTAATTGGTTCATGCATCTTTGGCAGGTTTAAGAAATTGGAATAGGAGATTTTTTTTACTATTAACATTGAATAATAGATCTCTATGTTATTTGGCTTGATCTATAAGTTAAATTATCAAAATAATCCTGTTTGTTTTGGGTTATATATCTAAGATATGCCCAATTTGGATAATCTTAAACAAATAAAAGGCTCTATAAAAGGTGTCAACCTTATATTATAACAGCAATGCGTGCTAAAAAACTACTAGAAAATGTTTGTTTGACATGAAAAAACCCTCCCATTGATAATACTAACCTTGAAAGTTATGAATTTTAAAAAGAAAATTAAGAATATCAATACCTAAAACTAGAACATTTTGTAAAATATTAACTGGATTGTGATTTTTACATGTTTATAGCCCTGCTCCATTCGTCAAGCTTTATATTTCAAGGTGCACCTTGCCTTTTAGTAAGGTGGGCGCCCTGTATAAACGACACTAAAAAAAATAAAAAATGCCAATTAAATTTTAAAAGCCAAAAAATTTAAAAATCATGAAAAATTCGTCCTTTCGTGCATCTTCCCTCATGGGAGTTTGAAGTAGTGATTTTCCTGCAAACACAAGTTTTTTTTTGTATATTTTTCAAACTTTCAGGTTGCTTTGTTGTTTCAAAAACGAGAAATTTATCAAAATACACCTTTTTTTTTTTTATCAAAACACACCTAACTTTTCAATCGTTCAACATAGTTAAAATGTTAAATAGCGGATTTTTATGCACATTTTCATAAATTTCCCTTTCCCAAAAATGAAACAAACCAAAAAAAATAAAAATGAAAATTTTGTGGTGTTTTCCTTTTCACGTACAAAAGGGTTTAGCGTTAGGGTGTTCAGGGGCAGCAATATCCAAGCCAAGCCGAACCGGGGCCGCGGCTCAGAAATGGCGGCTTCACTCTGCTTCTATTGTACAGTGAACTCTTCGGCTCCAATGCATTCGGCTTGGCTCGGCAAAACTCTAAGCACCTCAGTAAGTTGCCAGAGCCATTTTTCCTTATTTGTTTTTTCATTATTTTGTTTTTTTGAAATTGGTTGATTCTTGGATTCAAGATTATAACTGATAATTTTTTTTATGTCTAAATATGTTCTTGATGAGATTAATTTTTCTGAAATTCTGAATTTATGTTCCATTCTCAATGAAAATGCGTAAGGGACCCGGAGGTGAATTTTTTCTCGTTAAGATATTAATTCTGATGAATTCATGGAAATTTATGGTTTATTTATTTATTTATTGAGTTTTCTGTAAAAAAGATCCTGTGTTTTTCATGATATTTAGGTGTAATTATGGTAATTTCCGAATATAAGAGAGAGTAGTTTGTGGATTTTATGTTGTTCATTTACAAAAGGAGGTGTGAATTCCTTCGTCAAAATATTCAGAGACATTGGCGTGAATAAGAAAATTGCAGGTACTAAGGTGAAAGTTTTATGGAAATTTAGTTTGTTTCTTCTTCGCTGTCGATCACTAGTAGTAGTAATAGTAGTAGGAGTAGTAGTAGCAGCAGTAGTAGTATTATTTACAACATCAGTCCTGGATTTGTATTTTCAATATATTGAGCTAACTATGGCTATTTCTACAAATAACGGAGAATTGATGGCAACTTGGTGGCTTTAATGGAAATTTTGTGTGTTCAGTTGTTGTTTTCGTTGATGAAGCCCATTCCAAATAATTGGATTAAGGCTTGGACAAGATGTTATCAAATGCGGGTCTTGTTGTTTTTCCTTTTTCTTTTTTAAAATAAAACAGTGCAGAAATTGTTGTTATCTCAAGATGATTGGCGTGAAATTAGACTTCATGAAAATGGCATAGAATTGAAATTAGTTATGTGGATTTATGGAAATTTATGGTACTTAACTAGCATTAGTAACATTCTTCACAAAATCATGTATTAGCATGCTGTTATCAAGGATTTGAGATGTGATTTGAGCTATTTGGGGAAAGGAGAGAATCAAAAGCAGTTTAGATTTCCAATACTAAAATCACAATCATATGATAGAATCAGCTAGAATCAGCTGTTAAGAGAGTAGTAAAGCGACTCTCAAAATTATCCTTGGCAAACAATGTCTCCGGCGATTATAATATAAGTGCATCTACATGTATATGTATGTGGATATTTATGTCTCATGTGCATGTTTTTTTTTAATAGCTATTGATAAATGTCGTGTGTGTATGCTTCTATACAGGGATGTGTACGTATGCTTGTGTATGCTGCCTGCATGAATGTATGCATGCATTTAGTTGTGTATGTATATATGTACGTATTCATGTACTATTGCCTGATGATGTTTATGCAGTGAAATGCTATAATTAACCTTGATTGTGATTTAATGGTCCAACAAACTTTTATGATGGCCTTTGTGTCATGAAATATGGGAGTAGAACCAACTTGGAAGCTATGTTGCATGGATTCTTCTTTTTGAATGTCGTACCTGTTTTGGACATGTATCAACAGTTCTACCCACATACTGACCTAGATCTTTTTGTAATCTTCTTCATATTCACTGACCATTGATTGCATCATTGATGTAGACTTCGATCTTCTTTTTTGTTTTGAGCAGTCACTTGTAAATTTTCAAAACATGTATGAATTCAACCAACACATAATTGAGATTTTGAGCTACTCGTCATGAAATAAATATTGGTAGATAATGTTGGGTTTTTTTTTAATCTCTTTATAATATAGCCATATCGCCTAATCTTATTCATCATGGAATGAGGAATTCGACATCCTGTACCCATGCCTGACATTTACGAAATGTCGAGTCCATGCAACAATGTCGGCAGGGGAAGTGCATTACTATCTGGTGGACTATGAAAGAAACATAGTCCATTGGGTCATCACTATCTGCTGAAATGATGAATGGTGATGGAGAGAGAGTCGGACGCCACCATTGCGTTAATGTTCTTTTTGGAGTGTACCACTCCCTGGCCGTCAGCATCCATCTCTTGAATGGATAGTGATGTCCTGATGTACTATGACTTTCTCATTGTTTTGTAAAGAAATATAGTTGGTCTCAAATAATGATAGATATCATTAAGGTGGTCTGTCATAGACACTCATACGAGGCCAAGGTACTACTGAGAATTGAAAATAGGATGTTTTAATGACTTTCTCTATCGCTTTTCCTTGAATTGTTCTTGGTGAAGATGTAATGCCATTCAGTCGAGTTTCTATTAGAGGACCGACTGGTTCAACGATATCCGGGGCACCACATATGCCAGGATTTTCCATGTTCTAATGACTTGTTGTAATATGAATTGCACTTACACTGCTCTTTGATGAAATGGTAGGGACCTTTTAATAGTCGAAGTTGTCAAAGAGTGCTTCCTTCACTTACAATTATCGCGCTCTTTTGGGGAAGTAGGAAATCTACGGAGATGCAAAGTATGGATGTCTCTCTTGGGACATTTACCCCTGAGGGTTCTGCAACTGAGGTGCCTTCTTGATTTCTCACTCAAAATATTAAATGTTGTTGCTTATTCTATACTTGATGTTCTAAAAGTAGGCTTTGAATAAACAGGTAACATCTGACAATGAGTTGAAATCACATAGAATATCCCTTTCAGTAGCATCATCAATTACAGATATTTCTTCTGAGCAATGGGATGCGTGTGCAATGGATGCAACTGGGGTCGAGAAACTCAATCCATTTCTTACCCATGCTTTCCTTTCGAGTTTGGAGGAGACAGGATGTGCCGTAAAGGTAGAACCTATTACATCTGACCTTCCTGCACTTACATTTTGCTTTAGGTCTATTCTTACCACCATTTCTATGCTACTAAAACGTTATACTTCTTTCAGATGGTACTATTTAGATGTTGAATATATTTCTAGTTCCATTTACAACAGTTTTGCAAATTTACATAATTATTGGCCAGTAATGCTTAATTTTTTTATATAAAACACAAAAGGCTATTAATAGAAATTACATTCATCATGTCTTTTATATGTATATGATTTTCTATGTGCAAGACCATTTATGTGGGAGATGCCCCAGAGAAGTTTTCTGTCGTATGAGAGCATTGGTGCATGGAAAGTGCTAACTCTGTTGGATCAAATTTAGACAAAATGTGAATGATCACCGTGCTTATCTGTTTTGTGATTGTTAGACTAGAGGTCACACAATAGAAGATAATCTATTTTTCTCACTCAGATGGAGTAAGGGCTTAAAACTCTTGATACACACAATGCATTACTGTGGGAATAGGTGAAGGACAACAAAGTTAATAATTCTCATGGACATGGGGTTCCATAACATTTCATTCTGAAGGAAAGTGATCACGTAAAGTAATTCTGACTGTTTAAATTCATTTGTGTCGATCAAAAAGATGATGTTCTTTGTGTTACAGCTTCCATCAATAGATTTGTGAACGAATGAATGGTGTCGAGACTATGCATTTTCAACTACTAAGACTATATTGATTTGTAGCAAGATTGAGAATATGCACAAAGTTTGACAATACATGTCTTGTCCCTAGTCATTTTATCAAGATATGCCTATTATTTTTACAACAAAGTCAATAAATGCAGAAAAGTGTGTGCATCGGGTGGTAAAATTGTCAAAAATAAAGAATGCTCCTGAATATGTCATATAATGGGACTGGAAAAATAGCAGGCAACTGGTTAGAAGAAGAAACATCATTTGAAGTCCTAATTTTTTTGTTGGCTATACCTTTCTCGGCCTTTTGGCTAAGATTAAGTGTAGTATTATCAGTTTAATTTTTTTTGGTGGCTATACCTTTCTCGGCCTTTTGGCTAAACTCAAGCATAGTATCTCTTCTTACCAATTTTCTTTTTTGTTGGCTGGGAGCTATTATTCTCCCTCAACACAAAATTCATCCAAACAAAAAAAGCTGTGTAAAATAGTAGTTCAGCTTCTTGAGATTATGTGCTTCGGGTCGAAGGTTTTCGTCTTCGTTGTCCTTGGTATGTTACCTAAATGTTGCATTATTGGGCTATAAATATCCATTGTCTCCATTTTCTAGTGCCTTATGTCATATGAAATGGCAGTGCTTGAAAACCTGGGAATGGACGGGTGAACCGGCCATTAGGGAAATCGGTCTAGATCGGCAATTCGGATGACCTGGTTCTCTAATAGAATAGTCCGGTCCAATTCCCTGAGGGAACCAGACGATTCTAAGGGAACTAGCCCAGTTCCGCCCAGGAACTAGTTCGGTTCCTACTGATTCCTGATCTGGATCGGTGGGTTTTAAATCACTATGGAATAGTGTCAATTAATTGGGTTACATTCTATTAGGGGTGTGGTTTGCATAAGGTTGCAACCTTAAGCAATCAAATTAAGGCGCACCTCCAAATTTCATCATAAATGTGATTTTGGTGTCAAAAGTTTTTAGGATGGCTTGAGAATCTATTTTGATCTCTAATTATAACCATAAAGTAGATCTATAAAAATATGAAAATCTTGAAAATGGACGGTCAAGATAATGTATTACAAGATACACTATTTTTGGGACTCGAAATCTTTGTTTCTTTTCATATTCATACATCTCGAGGTTGAGATGATCAATTAGAGAGTTTTCCAACATCAAAACAACCTTTTATGATGGGTTTTTGAGGTGCACCTTAATTCTATATTTTAAGGTTGCAACCTTATATAAATGTTTTCCTTCTATTAGTGTATCATATCAACACCATTATACGTTTTCTCATTTTAATTTTCTTTGTATGTTGGACTGCTTTTACAGGGAGCAGGATGGTTACCGCAGCATATTATAGCGAAGGATCAGTATGATAATATCATAGGTGTTATTCCTCTTTATCTTAAAAGGTTTATCATCTGCAATATCATCGTTTTTAATTAGTTATACAACAAATTTTGTAGCATTCATTTGTTTGTCAATCCATCTGCATGACCTCTGTGCTATACATAGCTGAGTTGTTATTAATTATTGATTTTCAGCCACTCGTATGGAGAGTTTGTTTTTGATCACTCCTGGGCCGATGCTTACTACAGATTTGGTTCTAGTTATTACCCTAAGCTGCAGTGTTGTGTACCATTCACTCCAGTTACAGGTCCAAGGATATTGATCCGCAAAAGTTGGTACAAAAATCAGGTCTTTGACAAATTAGTTTCTGCCCTGAAGGATCTGACTGAGAAGGTACTTTATTGAAACAGTCGTGTCATCAACTAAGGTCCTTCAGTTTGATTTAGCCTTCTAATTCATCAGGTCGTGTAAAGAACTTTTGATCTATTAATAAAACACATTGACCATGAAATACTTTGTGCTTCTTTTGGAGTATTTAGTGCCTCATGGATTAGGGACCTGCATGTGATTTCCTTTGTTCGGATTGCTTGTATGGGAATGTATGTGCTTATAATAGAGACTGTTTCTGTCATATGTACTCGTTGTGAAAGTATAATAGACCCATTATGTCAATAACTCAACAGTATACGATAAAACAAAAGCGTCTCCATTGTCTGCCCTCCCTGATGGAATGTGAGATGGAATGTTATTCTTCTTGAAATTCTAATGTTGTCTGTGCAGGAATACCTGTTTGTGCATGGTGTATACTATTATTATCATATTTTCTCCTTGCTTCATTGTGTGTGCCGGAAACTACTTTTTCTTATTATCATTGTATATTATCCTATGCTTCATTGTGTGCCTGAAAGGAGAAATTGAAGCCCAAAAGTAATCATGGAGAATCTTCACATACTACTAGTAAGAAACAAGTAGGTGATCAGTGGTTTAGCTTTTGTTTGATTATTTGATGGTAGGGAAGAGGTCAGTGAGGCCAGTGATGTGGCCTCACAAAGCGTCTTCTCTATTTGCATGCCTGGGATTGAAGGCCTTAGGGCATTGCTTGTAACCAAAACATTAAGGTTTAGTTCATTATTGGTCTTCATGTATGCAAGCTCGATTTAGGGCACATCAACAGCATGAGCTGATTAATAACCTTTAAAAGGTGTATTGTATTGTTTTGTTGTTTACAAGTTGTGTTGATCATTCATGAATTCTTCATGATTAGTTAGGCATTTTTCTTTTCGTGTTTTGATCTGAATAAATATTAGCAATAGAAAAATAATAATATGATAAAAGATGCATTTTCATTTGAATGTCTTTGTGGTGCAGTGCACGGTGAATGTTTTAACCTACTAGCACACCTTTTTTTTGTCTATCTGCTTTGTTATTTTTCTCAAAAACATGGGGGTGAAAATTATGGTTACAGTATCAGCTTATGATTAAATACTTTTGAATATTGTCAACATTATGGATGTTTTGTGCGATCAATGAAATTGAGCAAGCATGATGTTTTTTGAACCTAGAGTAGCTATACACAACTTAATTTGATGCAGTATGGTAAGCAGTGTCACATCTTTGACAGTCAGGGGTCTCATCTTTGCATATAACCTTTCCCTCTGAGGATGAATGGCACAAAATGAAGAAGGATGGATTTCTCCAGCGAATAGGAATGCAATACCATTGGAAAAATCGGGATTACAAGAGGTAAATGAGTGAACATTTTCTTCTTGCTCTTGATTTCCTTTCTTCTTTTTAGACCATTTCTTTTATCTTATTTCTCAGGGTTATATCCCTTTGTTGTATACATTATGCAACTTGATGGCTTGTGCTCCGTTATACGCCTTTTTTTGTGCAAGCATATGTGAGCTTATAGACCTGTATGTTTTGGATCTTGGTTATTTTTAGCCATCTGCAAAGATTTTCTTTTTTTGTCTATTGGCATCTTGGCTATAGATTTGTTCTTACACATTATTAATTATTTTGTATTTCTAGTTATATCTTCGCGATATGTACAAATGAATCTCGTTGTTTGCAGTTTTGATGAGTTTCTTATGGACTTGAAACAAAGCAAAAGAAAAAATATTCGACAAGAGCGCAAAAAGGTTGGTAAATTTGTTATATTTGGAATTCATGCAGATATTCCAGATTTTTGTGACTGTTATAGTCAGTAGTTGGATAACTCTGATCTATCTTTGTTTATCCATTCTAAATGAATGAAGAACATTATTTCCAAAGGTCCTAATAAAGCCTTCTAATTGAGAATATGCTAAGGCATGCCAAAGTGGTGGGCTAAGTTACCTGTACACATATAGGAAGGTTAAAAAAATATCGTGCAATTCTACCCAGTAGTTGATTAAAAGGGCTGGCCTTCTAGGAGGGTAACTTGTGAGTTTGCGATTCTCTTTGATAGTCATTTTTGTTCTTTTCCAGTGCTGTTGTTTGTCAAGAGGGTCTGCTTGTTAAATCATTCGCTTTCTAGAGGATTTGTTCCAACTTTTGGGGGATCCACCCTATCTTTTAATAAAGATATCCATGAGTTGTCTTCAAGACAGATGATTTGTTCAAAAGTGACTTTTGGGTTCCTCACTGGGGATTTTATATGGGGGTTACTTTTGAGGGCCCGATGACTTGTTAAAGGGTACATATGACAAATATGATGGTAGATAAATTCAGTGACAAGGGGGTTTCTTCTAGCCTAATGCGCTTCATGTTCCTAGTCTTTGTAATAGGCTCTCATAAACATTACGGATTCCAAAAAGAATCAAGTAATAGATAAACTTCACCAGAAAAATAAGATACTTGGATGTTCCCCATATTGTATCAGTACCTCATATTGTATCAGTACCTTACATCTAGGCATAATGAACTGCCTACATGAAATTTTCAAGTCCTTTTTCATGATTTCACAATCAAGTTCTTGATTAATGTGACAAGATGCCTTGTACTACTAGGGATGGACATAACACAAAAGTTTACATAGTCCCCCCCTTCCTATAACTTGGCTGCAGTGTTATCCCCGACACTCCAACTATGGCTAATGTCACGTATTAACATCTGTCAGCAGCTGTGGACACTTGGTAGGTTAAACTATTTTTTAAAAAATATTTGATTTCTATGGCAAGATTTGAACGTAGGTACTACTAAATAATGAGGTGAGTTCTGCCACCTTTCCAACTACATAGCATATGAAATATTATAGGAAGTTATTATACGTGTACTAGTAAACCTAATATTTTATTACTAAAAAAGGTAATCATATCGACGTGTGTTGCCATATTGGCTTTTTAGGCTGACGTGCTACACACCCACAACACTTCTGTCTATGTCCATGTAAAATCCACAGACTTTTTTCAAGCCCTATGTCCGTCTCGGACTTCTCATTTTTCCATAAATGAAGCTCCCTTCTTATACTTAGGGGGATCAACTTAATTTCAAATGAAGACACCCTTTCTTTGTTACAAATGCACACCTAGCCCATAAGGCCCTTTAATGTATTTTGAACCTCTCTCTCTCTCTCTCTCTCTCTCTCTCTCTCTCTCTCTCTCTCTCTCTCTCTCTCTCCTCTCTCTCTCTCCTCTCTCTCTCTCTCTCTCTCTCTCTCTCTCTCCTTCTTCTTACCTTCCTTC